ACAGAAGCTTCAGCCAAAGTCCCACTGCAGCCACTGACGACACTCACGTGTTGCGAGGGCTCGGGCAGCCCCAGCGCCTTCACGTGCTGGAGAAGGCTTCTAGACCACGCAAGCTCGGGCAACAACACAACCGTTGGAGGTGGCGAAGAAAGAATCAAAGGAATATCATCTTCTGACTCAGAGTGAGGCTTGAAGGCGTCAATTTCTGCCATGACATCAGAACTCGAAGACGACAGCAGGCAATCAACAGCTGCAGACCACGTCATGGCCCCACAACTGTTACTACAACCCAAGCGGCAAGCCACCGCCCTGAGCTTTGAGACTCAACGCCTCACGCAAAGAAGGGGCCTTGGCACCTTGGTGCTTGGTTTAACAAATGTCCGACCTCTCGCTCACGCTCGATTGAAGTCCCACGGGCAAGAGTGCTTGATTCCTTGAAGGTAAACTATCTCTCCCTTGGTTTTGAATTGCAAGTTAAGCCTGAAACTGACGCTGGTTCAGTCTAGCCATGGGTAAAGAGTGTTTACGAGCTTCAGTCTTTGTGCTTTGCTTGTGCTTTTCTGTTTTTGCGAGTTGCAAATGGCGTTCTTCTCTGAGTTTCCATCGTTTGTTTTGTGTGTTTTGTTAAGTCTCCTGCTGTGTTTTTTGTGTTTTGTTTGAGTCTCCTGCTGTGTTTTTCTTGTGTTTTTTTTGAGTCTCCTGCTGTGTTTTTCTTGTGTTTTTTTTGAGTCTCCTGCTGTGTTTTTTGTGTGTTTTTTTTGAGTCTCCTGCTGTGTTTTTTTTGTGTTTTTTTTGAGTCTGTGTTTTCAGTTGAGTTTTTTGGCTGAGTTGTTTCTGAGTTTTTTTTGAGTTTTTTTTGGTTCCGCTAAAACTTCTCCTGTCTGAGCCCGTCTGGTCATAAGTTTAGGTGGGTTTAGGTTTTATTGTGGGTTTCATGTTTTGTTGTTAATCGCATAGGCTGACACACAAATGACAGACTACAGCGCCACACCATGATTCATGACAATGCCGGGAAAGATGATATCGCATATGTTGGGATGCCTGGGAGTCTTGGCTCGGAGCTTAGATGTTGGAGTACTGTGTGAAGGCGGTCTTTAAGATGTTGCGGCGTCCAGTCAAGATGTTGGCGCGAGATGTCTTGGAGTCTTTTTAGATGTTGGGGCGTCTTTTTGAATGTGGGGGCGTGGTCCCCCCGGTTGCCTTTATAAACAACCCAACAGGAGTACCCTCGCAAAGGGACACCCCCCCAAAAAAATGCGTTCACAGTTTCATGCACTTCTTGGCGCTCCTTAAACCCAGCTGGCTTCCCCCTTCAAGGAAGGCAACCACCCCTGGGTGTTCAGCAATTGCAAAGAATGTTTTTCCCACTATGCCCTGAGAAGTGTTTTTACAAGTAGCCAAAACCCCAATTCCGATATGGGCCCTGGCCCAAGAATGGACCCCCGGCCCCCTCTGATCTCACGCACCTCCGTGCAGACCCGCAGGATGCACTTCACACCGTGCACCTTGAGCTCCATTCGGTCCTCGCCGGGTCGACCCGAACCCAAAAGGCCAGGGAACGGAAGAGCTCCGGCCCCGATTGTGCTCCACCCGCCTCCCGAAACAAGCAATAGACTGCCAACTTTTGCTGATGTCATGCCAAATGGCCATGGGTAACTTTTCCCGTCATCCCATGTACCGACCCCCCATAGTTGCCGCCTCTAAAAGGATTTCTGTGAGGACCTGAACCAGGGATGCTCGAAGGAACCCTTGGGCAAATAGCGCTGAATCCCTATTTTGAGGGTGCAGTTGGTGCTGGAGGTCCTCATAGAGCGAATCCGCGTACTCCTCGATCTGTCGGTAGTCCGCCGAGGGAAGCAGCGGCTCCTCGCGCGGATAGAGGCTCTTGAAACCAAGAGTCCAGGCGAGGCCATTTTGGGCGGGGGGGAGGAGACACATTCCAGGTCTTCCTCAAAGTCTCAAAATCTCAAAGTCTCAAACGAAGGGCTTGAGCCCAAGGGCGATCAGTAATGTAAGTATCAGGCTTGCTGCGCCAGGAGAGATGCGAAGGATTGAAAGCAATATGCACGTCTATGCTCAAACAGCTCCTGCATGGAAGAAAACAATCAAGTGTAAATGATGAACAGAGTCACGTCATCGTGCAAGACGTGCATGCGATGTTGAACAGAAACTAGGCTTCTAGTGTCAGTGTTATGATAGAAACAACGTTTCGAGACCAAAACAAATCAGCGCTTTGTTGGCATAGAGCTTTTCGAACATCAAAAACTCCAAGCATTACTTCAGATACAATCCAAACGTACACTTAGTGCTAGCCTGCATCATTATTTTCCTGTGTACCACAAAAAAAGCGGAGCAAGTTGGTAGCCTGTCGGCTGACCACCCAAAAGGGAAATAGTATCTTTCCAGCAATGACTGGACAAGAGGGTTTTGGAGGACTACAGTCCTCTTGCAAAGCCCCCGTGTCCACTTCCATGGTAAGGGCCCACAGTTGCGCGACGGATCGGCAACATGCGCACCTGCCGCCTCTTCGGCGGTGGTGGGGGCGGGGGTGGCGGCGGCGGCGCCTGAGGCGGCTATGGCGCAGCGGTCAAGGGCTTCAGCGCACCAAGTTGCTCAACTCCAAGCTTTCTTCTTGTTGGCGAATCCTAAAAGCAGTCCTGATCCTATCCCTGTACACCCCACTGTTTAGTGGTTCGTTGATCCCTTGCTGAAGGCTAAACTCTATGTGGGGTATCTTCAACAATCTCAAAGTCTAAGGTATGGCTGGGAACCGCCAAGACCCCAGCACCACGCTCTCGCAGGACAGTCCTGGAAAGCCTTCAAACAACCAAAAGGATAAGGTTAAAAACGGCACCTATTCCCAGGTCAATTCGGGGTGTTGCTCTTCCGAAGTTAAGGCGGGCAAGGGTCCAGCTCTTGGTTCAAGCCTATGGGGAAAAGCGGAGGCAGTTCCCAGCATAGCTGTCCTTTTGAGAAAAAATGGCCCTGGTAAATGGAATAAAACCCATCTAAACTACTTCTCATCAAACTAACCTAAGAAGGACACCTATGGTTCCCAGGTGCTTGCTCACGTGTCGCCTTTCGGCTTGTGTTGTCTTTTCGAAGGCCCAGCTGAGAATGACGCGCGTGGGAGTTGTCCGGGCTGTATGTTGAGCTAAAGAGAATCGGGCAGCTTGTTTTGCTTTGCACTGGTGGAGTACACTCCTGTCCACAAAAAAAACACCAGAGAAATGGTCCACATTGAAGGAGACTTGTCTTCCAGGACCCCGAAACGTCAGGTTCCATGTTAGTAGTCACTTTCCCATGCGCAAAAACAATGTTGGGCGCTTTGTTTGGGATGATCATTTCGACTAGGGAACCGTCTCCTTTGGGAGCAAAGGCGGTTGAATCCAACTGGAGCTGTTCCCGTTCTGCATTGCCCTTTTGGCAGTTTCAGCAGTCGCCTCGCCAAAACTGGAGATTCCGTCCAAAGACTGTAGTCAGGATCTTTTCATCCAAGTGATGATGCCAGTGGGCCGTGCAGTGCCCGACACCTGCTTGAACCTTCCCCACTCAAGCAAGTAAAATTCCTGTGAGGGCACTACCCACGTGGGAATTGGGTGGTTCAAAGATGCCTGTAGGCCTTGACGGCATCCTGTCATTCATGAAACAGCCATAGATCACGATGGAAATGCATGCTGGATGGCAACAAAGACAACTGTCAGCTGCCTTTGAGCGTGCCCCAAAAGCTCAAATGAGCCACCCCTTTCGGTGGCCGTTGTCAACGGGAGGCCGCGAAGTTTGGGGGGTCCTCCGTCTGAGGTCTCTATAAACCCAATGTATGGATGGTTCTGGGCGGTGGCAAGCCAACCCACGTGTTCCTGGCTTGCGGGCTAAAGCCTCGAACCTTCTTAACCATCGAGTCTCATTCTAAACTTGCAGCTCCCCGTCAGGTTGCCAAATGGCCTGCGCGCGCCGCTGCTGCTGCTGCATTCCCTGGCAAGGGAGAAAAGGCTGATCCTTTTGCAACTTCTTTTGCGGTTGACCAGCTTGGCCTTTTGGGGAGCGAGCTTTAAAATAACACCGACGAAACAATGAATCATCACATTTATTGCTTGAGACATGCCCTCCGCTCAACTTGGATGTGAAACCTTAGATGGACATTGCCAGGAAAACATCAGAGCCGGCACACCCAGCACAAACCCTGCAAAAAGCAGGCTAGATACCCTGTGCATCTAGTTGTATATCCGATTGAAGCCCTCGGAGTGAGCCTGAAACCTGTTGCAGAGATGTCAGAGTGACTGAAGACTTCGGCCAAATGAAGCCTGCCAAGAAAAAGTTCACAGCGATCTCCCCTGAAGCGCTCGACTACCCTCCCTCGCTGCCATAGCACTTGTGGGAGGATAGCTGTAAGAAGAAGCTCCTCTTGAAGGGAAAACTTCCCTGCCTCGCTACATGTGTTTGCTCCGGGCCTTTCCAACGCTGTTGCCTCCAAATTTGCCGCTGCCTAAAACCAGCTGCGCCGGCGACGTCTGCCTTCTACAGGTGCTTGACCACATGGGAATGCACGGCTCGCAGGTTCGAGCTAATTTGGTGCTCATGGTGGGACAAGTTTTGGGTACCTGGCTTACACTAGGAGCTACTGTACCTGAGAGGCTCGCTGGAGTTTATCTCAGGGCTATGCTGGGGTTTGCCAGAAGACCTGCAGGTAAGAGACATGCAATAGTGGTTCATAAACGGTGGCGGGGCACTCTTGGTGTATAGTTCGTACAATTGTGGCATCACGCACAGGTGAGGTGCCCAAACGCCCACCGATTTGGGGTCCAAATCCCTATTTTGACAATGCCATCATGTGTTTCATCGATCCACCAACATGGATGACTGCGCTAAGTAAGTGGTCGATATCCCAACTAATAACTCCCCTAAATAAGAGTTGTCCGACCCACTTAGGTGACTTAAGTGGGGGATATTAACCACTCATAAAGTGGGTTCATCCAGCAAACACAGTTGCCCTTCCGGTTCTACCCGGCCTCGTGCTCTGCAAGGGCGTACAGCAACTGCTCCACCTCCCCCACCTGCCACAAGCAGCTCCGAACGACCCCCTCGGTTCCTTTTCCGGGAAACTCAGACCCAACGATCCCAGGGAAAGGGAGGTAGCCGGGAGTTGTTTCTGGTGGCTTCCCTTGGCTGCAACCGTTGCAACCGGAAGCACCCAAACTGAACCAGGCCCAGCCTGCCAGGCAAATTCAGAGTGTCTGGCTTGAGAGGTGTCTGTCTTCTGGACCTGATTTGAGGTCTGCTACGACCCGCTGCAACAAGATTCAGCTGTTCGCTTGTTATGGGCAAGAAAAAAAGAAAACACACAAGGCTAGGCATTAGTCTCAATGAAAAGGAGCTGGTGTCCTTTGACAAGTTATTTACTTTTGGGGATTCCTTGAAGGATAAATCCCACAACCACCTGCTTTACCAGGGTGTGGACCCTTTAAATCAGCTGGAAGGTGAGTTGTTTGAGTAGACCAAACGTATCCTTTGGAGCCTTGCTTTTGGGGCTGGTCTTTCTCGGGAAACTAGAGGACACCATTTGGACTTCGCTCAGAAGGGAATTCCATACACAACATAACATAACATACCCGCGGTGGATCTTTTTTGAGGGCAGCCCCCAAAAAAGGGTGTCAAAGGGAAGCCAAAAGGAAGCCGTTGCCAGTTTTGGGGAGGTTCCTAATTTCAAGACCCACTGCGATCGTTTCCCATACGCAGACTTTAGATTGTTGTGTGTGCAGATCAACGCATTTTGAAGCAAAAGGAGATGGCCTCGATAGGAAAAGCCAAGGACTCCTTTCACCAATGTTCCACCCGTGTGGTTTGGTGGCCCCATGTTGCTTAGAGGGAAACAACCAAAGAGTGCCTTCAAAACCCCCAGTCCAACTTCAGCCCAGTTCTAAAGTCTTTTCCGGAAAAACCGGGGAAAAGCTCAAGCTCCGGATGTGGTTCGGTTCCACGGCTCCACTCGCTTCGCCCGAAGGAGAACCGGCGGCCTTAGAGGCGGGGATGTACTTCTTGCACTTCTCCACCACCTCCTGTGCCAGGCCCGGCACCTCGGCTCCTGCGGACTTTTGCGCAGCTCGGCGCGTGCCAAAAGCAGAGAGACCCGCTGCTTCGCAGGGGTTGCGGGAATGAGGCCTTTCAGATCCCAAGCAAACCATTGGTTTGGGGGCAGTTCCCCATGAGAACTCGCAAGAGAGGTCTGAGGGAGCCCGGGCAATCCCCTCAAGGCAGACAATCCCCTCAAGCCAGCAGGCAGGCAGGCAGCCCTTGAGCTTCAACCCCAGAGCTCCAACAATTCAAGGGAATGCTTCGCGCCTCACATGTTTCACCCAATCCGAATTTGGGGTCATACTCATCCCACCCTAAACATTGCCCTTTCGAGAAAAGCCTCCCAAGTGGCCATGAGTCCATGGTTGACCCTTCCAAAGCGGAATATGGGATTCACCTTCATTGAAGGTACCCTTCTGGCGTGCGGGTTGGTTGAAAGGAAACAAATGGATTTCCACATATGGGGGTTCACTTCTGGAGACAAACCCAGGTGGGCTTGTTCAACAAGAAGGGTGGCAACTCTGGGCTCCGGTGCTTGATCTGTCCTTGCGAAGGGTGTTGCAAAGGTTTCAAAAAAGGAGGCCTACCCTTGAACAATCGTCATACTGTAGATAGACAAAATCTGGCACCGGGAGATGAGTTGGATGCTTTCTCTCAGTATTCACAGCACTTCATCCATCCCAAATAGTGCAGAATTTCGTCCATCCACAGTATGACTATGAATGTGAATATTGATAGCGAAAGTGGTGGACATTGATGCCGACCTAAATTATGTCCAGCAAACTCAAGGTTCTACACTATGGGCAACGGACAAAAATGTCTTGCTTCCCAAAGGATATAAGGCATGTGGGTTTTCGCTACAAGGAATATGATCAGGGAGTGTCCACGGTGGTCCTTTTTGCAAGGCAAACCGCCCCCCGTCATGACCCAAACAGGATTGGGCAATTCAAACTTGTTTCACTCACTCACTCACTCACTCACCCACCCACCCACACACACACACACACAACCCCCAACCCCTGCAACCATGGTTGCTAACCAGCTACCTGACGTACCTGATCACCCTCTCAAATGCAACGAGGAAACAGAAAGACAACCACTGGAAACTAAGGAAACCGCCAAACCTCCACCAGAACTTCCAAACCTCCCGCATAACTTCCATCCCAACTATTCCATGCTCTACAGCAAAACGGATTCATGGTGACGTCCATGCGGTGCCGGCTTGCCTTTATCAGCATCGGCTGTTGCGCATCTCTGCTCTACTCTGCCACGCAGCAACTGTGATGGTGAGACGCTCAAGTCAATCGACTTCTCTTAGCAGCAGGGGCACACAGAGCGCGCTGCACAACTGCCTCATAACCCTGCTCTGCAGCAAAATGCAGTTGTGCGTCGCCATCGCTTGCAGCACCGGCACGCAACAAGCACTGCACAACTGCATGATTGCCCTTCTTTGCAGCAACACGCAACGGTGATCTGCCATCGTTTGCAGCCTTCTCTTTGTCAGCACCGGCATCCAACAAGCACTGCGCAACTGCCTGATGGCCCTTCTCTGCAGCATAATGTAGCGGTGTCTCGCCATCGTTTGTAGCCTTGTCAGTGTCAGCACCTTCATCCAGCAAACACTGCACAACTGCCTCATAACCCGGCAATGCAGCATAATGCAATGGCGTGGCACCATCGTTTGTGGCCTTGTCTTTGTCAGCGCCAAAATTCAGCAAGCACTGCACAACTGCTTCATAACCCTTCTCTGCAGCAATATGCAATGGTGTCTCGCCATCGTTTGTAGCCTTATCTTTGTCAGCGCCGGCATCCAGCAAGCACTCCACAACTGCCTCGTAACCATGCCCAGCCGCAAGATGCAATAGTGTCTCGCCATCGTTTGTAGCCTTTTCTTTGTCAGCGCCGGCATCCAGCAAGCACTGCACAACTGCCTGACGACCATGCCGAGTAGCATCTTGCAACGGTGTGGTGCCATTGCAGGTCGCCTTCTCTTTGTCAGCACCGGCATCCAGCAAGCACTGCGCAACTTTATGATGACCGTGCCGTGCAGCAATATGCAAGGATGTGGCGCCATTGTAAGCTGCCTTCTCTGTGTCAGCACCAGCATCGAGCAAGCACTGCACAACCTCCAAATGGCCCTTTGCAGAAGCATTGAACAAAGGGGTCACACGGGTGTTTCTGTCCGCAGCATTGGGATCATGAGGCTTCTCCAACAGCTCTATCACATGTTGTTTGTTGCCCCTGCCTGAAACTTGCAACAAGTCGGTGCAAGTTGCCAGACCATCTGCTTCACCTGCCGCTGCTTCAACATATTGCCGTTTAACCATCGTCAGGCACTCAGCATTCTCCCATGGACTCTCTGACCCCAACATGCCTGTGCCACTAGCCAGCGCGAGCTGCCTGAAATTCGGCATAAGCAATCCTTACTTGGCCACTGACCATGCTAACCATGGGAGAAAGGACAGCACCATGTGGCATGTGATTGGTTGATCTTCAATGAACATCCACACAAAGCACAACAACAAAAACAAGGGGAAACTGGGTACCAATGGGCAACGGAGAATCTCTTGGCGAGGTGGCGACGCAACGCATCAAAAAAGCAGGCCCCATCTTCCTGTTCGCGAAGCTCGTCCCGCCACAGGGAATACTCAGCTGCTGTCATCACATCACTGCCATCTATCAAGCGAACGCACGCCATGAGTGCATTGGACATGTCTGCACCTGAGCTGAACACGCCTCATGCATTCTATGTCAGTCAGCATACTCAGCTGAATATGCGTGTATCAATAGGTAAACACATACAATTCCGAGCAAATGCGGATTCCGTTTGCGCCACATAAAGCGACGCGCAAGCCTCGGCACAATTCAAGCTCCTCCCCGCTTCCTGCCGTACATCACCAAAATTAGCGAACCCATTGATTCTATTTCTTGTATAGTAGGTAACCAAGGCAACCACCCTTTACTAACTAAAAGGAAAATCGCTGGGTACCTACTGTAGTGGTAACTGGGGATCCCACTGAGAAAGATTTGAATTTCAGCCTTTCCTGACCCCCCGAATCAAGCCTCCGCATTTGCAAACAAAATACACTGGCGAAATCCAAAAGGATTTCGAAGAAAAGCCTCAGCAAACCGGTCCCCGCCCGCATTTGTTTCTTGCTGGCTTGGGGGGGGGGGACTCTCAAAAAAGGAATCAAAAAGGAATCAAACCATTCCTTTAAATGCCAAGAGTTTCCTTTTGGCTTCCCTTTAAATATCAACCAATAATTAGGAGGTCCATAATTTTCAGAAACACTCGGAACTTGATAAGCAGGAGGTCTTTACCCCACAACCGGTGGTTTGACTCCACATGTGTGAGTGTCTATTTGTAGGGGACCCCCACAATGGTGGCCTTCTTTTCAGTTTTCCTTTAAAGTCACGAAAACAGCCGTAATCTTAAAAAACGGACAATCTTATATGGGTTTGTCTTCTTTCCAGGTGTTTTTTTTGTTTGGTTCCTTCAAGGGAAAGGGAACACCCGCCCATTTGTTGGTCCGATTCAAACCTTTTAAGACACGCTCTCTGCCGACCTGTTTGGCTTGCCCAACAAAGCGCGTGGGGTCGGAAAAACTAGGGTACACGCAGCTATTAATGGTTGGGATTGTCCCTGACTAACCTTCACTTCCCCGGGTTTTGATTGTGACTCAGGTGATGCTTCAACCAGCCCCATGTTTGCTAGCTTTATTCGAAATCGAAGAATTCGTCCATTGCTAGCCAGTTCCCCTTCAATCCCCGAATCAAACAAGCATCTACTCGAAGTCGACCAACAGTTTGCCCATTTGCTTCTTCCCCCTACTCCAAATGCACGTTTGTTTTAGGGTGCTCATGTCAATTCCTGACTTCACCCAGGAAACCCAGGATTCCCAAAACCTACCCCAAAACATAGGGTAGGGGGTGCTCGGGCCAACGGCAAACTCCCCCGCTTCATAGACATCCATCTGATGAGAATTCCAAATCCTGGCAATCAACTCCCAGTTTTCCCAAGCAACCCCCGTGTCACCCGCCCCCGTGTCACCCCCCCCCCCAGTATCACCCCCCATCCCCAAGTCCTGTCAAGCCACGCGGGACTCGGATCACCTTGTGCCCGGGCGAGGACTCCGACCTCACCTCACATGCGTGCGGAGGGTTGCATTAAAAGGAATACAAGATCGGGTAGGGATGAAAAGCAAACCATCCCTCCTCCAAACTTGCCATTTGCTTACAAGTTCCCAAGAGAAAGAAGGAAAAATGCAAAAGAAAGCAAAGAAAGGACAAAAGGAACACACAAACACACATACAAGTAGAGTGCAGGCATCTCCTTTTGGGCTCCCGCCATTTTCTGACAAGCAACACTAAGTTTCTACTTGCCCCCCTAGTTCGAACTGGCTTCTGCGCCCACCGAAGTTCGAAATGATCCTGGAGGGCCGCGGTCACTGCCTGCCCAGCTGACCGCGGAAAGGTGCGCACCTATTTGCCGCTGCTTCATTTTCGAGGGAACCCACCGAGAAAAGACTTCAACCCGAAGCTGGGCGCTGAGTGAATGAGACAAGTTCATCGCCGGAAAACACGTAACCCTGCAGGAGCGTGGCAATGGGGCCCCAGCAGGATTGCCATACTCGTCGAAGTGGTGGGTCTCGGTCACGTAGGATACCTGCCAGGTGCCTGACTATGATCATGTCATGACCCACAATGATGTCCTGAATCTTGTCCAGTTAAGACGTGCCTAGTTCTCATGATAAAACACACTTTCAACAGGGTAAACTCCCCTCTTGGAAGTTGTAGGGAGGTCATTACCTGGGTTATTAGCCGCTTACTCATTTGGCCGAACACCCAAGTGGTGCCCCCTTGTCGGATGAGTGGCTCTAAACAGAAGGCCGGCAATTCATGCAACCCTCCTCCAAAACGAAGCGCCAAAATTGATCCACTTGGCTTGGGTGAAGCAGGAATGCGGCCCTGTTCAGCAAAGCGGCCCAATTGAAACGGGCCGCCAAAATGGCTTTCTTTAAAGGAGACCGACCCCTTTTTGTCAGCATGCGCTGACAAGCTCTTCCCGGGGTCACTTTCAGCGCGAATTCATCTGGATCTGCATCGATGTGACCTGAGCAACCGGCACAAATGGCCTGAAAAGAGGCGTGAATGAATGGAGGATACGTCAGAGAGAAACAGCAAGCAAGCCTCGCTTCCCAAGTGCGCGATTTCATTCCCACCAAGATGTTTTGTTCCCAAGAACAAAGCCCAGAAACTAGGGAACTGAGAAACAAAAGAAACATTAACCAAGGGCTTGTAAAACATGAGGGAAGCTCAGGTTTGGGGGGGACGATCGCTTTGAGTGCCCGTCTTACTGACTCGAAGGCGGCAAAAGTCTTGGGAGAGATGTCTGTGTGTGTGTGCGCGCGCCAAGCATCTGCACTAATTACGAAAATTCGCCAGGGCGGAATCAGGAATTCTCGAGTAAGGAACCTTCCTCCTGGGCCCCGGAATCGCTCGTTGTCGCGATCGGTAAAATGGCTCGGCCTGTTAAAAGTGAGGCACAATGCAGCTCCACAACTGTTCGCCACTGTGTATTTTTTGGCTGGCAACTTGGAAGAAGTGCTGTTGCTTTATCTATGTTCATCCATATATATATATATACATATATACATATATATATATATATATGTGTGAGAGACCTCTAGGTAATATTTGTCCCTGCTGGCTGGCAAGCCGAGCTCCAGGAATTCCAGAGACAAACCCTTGGAATTCTTAGATTTTTGGAATTCTTAAAATCCTAGAATTAATTCTAAGAAATCTAGTAATTCCAGCTGGAATTACTCCACTTTTTAGAATCAATACTAATAGTTCCATTTGGAACCATTAGAATTTACAGAATGAATTCCAAGATTTGAATTATTCCAATAGGACTTTTTAGAATTCGTAGATTTTTCCATAAATTGGAATAACTCCAATAGGAATTATTAGAATAAAAAATTGTTAGAATTCTTGCAATTCTTGCCTGGCCAGCATTCCCTTGCAATTCTGTTTCTGTTTTTTTGGAATTCTTAGAATCCTAGAATCAATTCTAAGAACTCTAATCATTCCAATTGGAATTATTCCAATTCCTAGAATTAATTCTAAGATTTCTAATAATTTTAATTGGAATTATTCCAAATCTTAGAATAAACTCTAAGATTTCCAATAATTCCAATTGGAAATTCTAGGAATTGGAATGATTCCAATTGGAATTATTGGACATCTTAGAGTTATTGGAAAATCCTTGCCTGGCCAGCATTCCCTGGCAATTCTGTTTCTGGAATGTTTGGAATTCTTAGAATCCTAGAATTAATTCTAAGAATTCCAATACCAGGAGCCTCAAAACCGATGAAAATGTCATACCTACAAAAAACACGATGTTTTTTGGGAAAACACGATGTTTTCGGGAAACACGGCATTTTCGATTTCAAGCATTTTCCCATACATTCCTTCAACTCGTCATCCGTTCTCAAAAGATCTCAAAAGCATCATCTCAACCTCAGAATCTCCCATTGCCCTCCCCTTTTGCGCTCGTAACGAAATCAGCTTCGCATTCGCCACTCGTCTTTCGCAACTCCAATCTGAAAGAAGGAGGCCGGGGACCCAAATAGTCAAAAGTACCACGGTTTTATGACACTTGTCAAGCAGCAATGCCACGTGCTGGCTTCGAACAGCGCGCAAGCTGAAGCAAAGACTTTTGCTCACGACTTCGTTGTTTTCCGGCAACGATCTCGAATTAGCGCATTCGTGGTTGAACCCGAAAAACCCATAGAATTTCCACGGTTTGCCACACTTTACTACGGGTTTTCCACGGTTTAGCTACGGGTTAGAAAACACGATGTTTTCCAAAAACACGATGTTTTCGGTTGGGGCTGCGGGTTTTCTATGGGTTTCTACAGGTTTTCTCTGGGCTTCTACGGGTTTTCTACGGTTTTTCCGGTTAGCCGCCAGGATCCCGCCCCGTTTTCCAAAAACAACTCAAAAATCATAAAAACAATCTCAAAAGGTGTCACCTGGTCTTGTTTTGCATTAAAAGGAGCTTTGGGATTCCAGCACCCCCTTCAAACTGGTTCGGTATGACCTGGCCCTAGTCTTCAGGTGCCTGTTGCTGTGAAGGGTACTTAAAAACTGAAGCCAGCTGCACACCCTGGCTCTCAGGCTCATCAATGTGGTCCTTAGAATTTGAAGCATACTCAGCATAGAGCGTTGCCCTCAGTTGAAATCTTAATGGGTGATGCCTGTGTGACTTCCACTCCCGACCCTTGCCTTTGACCAAATGAGTGTTTGGCCTCAGAAGCCAATTTTAAAGGGTTTTATCAAAAACAATGTTTTCCTGAAAACACGATGTTTTTAGAACATCGAGCAAAAACAAAATGTTTCAGTCAGGGTACGACATTTTTTCAGGTTCTTGAAGCCCTAGGAAAATTCCAATTGGAATTATTCCAAATAGTAGAATTAACTAAGAATTCTAATAATTCCAATAATTCCTAAAACTAATTCTAAGAATTCTAACAATTTCAATTGGAATTATTCCAATTTTATTGGAAAATCCTTGCCTGGCCAGCATTCCCTGGCAATTCTGTTTCTGGAATTTTTGGAATTCTTAGAATCCTAGAATCAATTCCAAGAATTCTAATAATTCCAATTGGAACTATTCCAAATCTGAGAATTAGTTCTAAGAATTCCAATAATTCCAATTGGAATTATTCCACTTCTTAGAAATATTGGAAAATCCTTGCCTGGCCAGCATTCCCTGGCAATTCTGTTTCTGGAAATTTTGGAATTCTTAGAATCCTAGAATTAATTCTAAGAATTCTAATAATTCAAATTGGAATTATTCCAATTCCTCATAATTCCAATTGGAATTATTCTAATTGTTAGAATTATTCTAAGAATTCTAATAATTCCAATGGGAATTATTCTAATTCCTAGAATTAGTTCTAAGAATTCCAATAATTCCAATTGGAATTATTCCAACTCTTAAAATTATTGGAAAATCCTTGCCTGGCCAGCATTCCCTGGCAATTCAGTTTCTGGAATTGTTGGAATTCTTAGAATCCTAGAATTTAATTCTAAGACTTCTAAGAATTCCAATTGGAATTATTCCTAGAATTAATTCTAAGAATTCTAGCAATTCCAATTGGAATTGTTCCAAATTTTAGAATTAGTTCTAAGAATTCCAATAAATCCAATTAGATTATTCTAATTCCTGGAATTAATTCTAATAATTCTAATAATTCCAATTGGAATTATTCCAATTCTTAGAAATATATGGAAATCCCTGCCTGGCCAGCATTCCCTGGCAATTCTGTTTCTAGAATTTTTGGAATTCTTAGCATCCTAGAATTAATTCTATCAATTCTAATAATTCCAATTGGAATTATTCTAATTCCTGGAAGTAATTCTAAGAATTCTAATATTTCCAATTGGAATTATTCCAAACCTTAAAATTAATTCTATCAATTCCAATAATTCCAATTGGAAATATTCAAATTTGTCGAATTGATTCGAATTCTTAGAATTAATTCTAAGACTTGGGATAATTCCAATTGGAATTATTAGAGCTCTTAGAATGGACTCTAGGAATTGGAATAATTCCAATTTGAATTTTCAGAATTATGAGAATCATTTTCAGGATTCTAAGAATTCTAAGAATTCCAGAAACATAATTGCCAGGGAGTGCTGGCTAGGCAAGGATTTTCTAATAGTTCTTAGAATTGGAATAATTTTAATTCAACTTATTAGAATTCTTCAAATTAATTCTAGGAAATAGAATAATTCCAATTGGAATTATTGGAATTCTTAGAATTAGTTGTAAGAATTGGAATAATTCCAATTGGAATTATTAGAATGCTTAGAATTAATCCTAGGAGGTTGAATAATTCCAATTGGAATTATTAGAATTCTTAGAATGAATTCTAATGTTCTAAGAATTCCAAAAATTCGAGAAACATAATTGCCAGGGAATGCTGGCCAGGCAAGGATTTTCAAACAATTCTAAGAAGTTGAGCAATTCCAATTGGAATTCTGAGAATTTTTAAGACAGGAATTAGAATAATTCCAATTGGAATTATTGGAATTCTTAGAATTAGTTCTAAGATTTTGAATACTTCCAATTGGAATTACTAGAATTCTTAGAATTAATTCTAGGAACTGGAATAATTCCAATTGGAATTATAAGAATTCTCAGAATTGATTCTAGGATTCTATCAATTCCAAAAATTCTAGAAACAGAATTGCCAGGGAATGCTGGCCAGGCAAGGATTTCCATATATTTCTATTAATTGGAACAATTCCAATTGGAATTATTAGAATTCTTAGAATTAATTTTAGGAATTAGAATAATTCCAATTGGAATTCTTGGAATTCTCAGAATTAATTAGAATAATTCCAATGCGAATTATTAGAATGCTTAGAATTAATTCTAGAAGTTAAACTAATTCCAATTGGAATTATTAGAACTATTAGAGTTAATTCTAGGATTCTAAGAATTCCAAAAATTCCAGAAACAGAATTGCCAGGGAATGCTGGCCAGGCAAGGATTTCCATATATTTCTAAGAATTGGAATAATTCCAATTGGAATTATTAGAATTCTTAGAATCAATTCTAGGAATTAGAATAATCTAATTGGATTTATTGGAATTCTTAGAACTAATTCTAAGATTTGGAATAATTCCAATTGGAATTAGTAGAATTCTTAGAATTATTTCTAGGATTCTCAGAA